GTAAATGTACCTTATACAAAATTTGTGAATCAAAATTTTCTACAAAAAAATCTGCAGTTTTTTTTTTTGATGCCTTAATAAAATTACAATTTTCCAGATGATGCTCATTAATGTTTACGTAATTTACATTTTTTCTTTCGTTTGTGTTCTTACATTTGCATATTGTTACCTGTACCTGTTTATTTAATTTATTTAGTCTCAACGTTATATGAATATAGCGCTAGTTTATGTTTATCTTAGACATTCGATAATGAGCAATGTTTACTTCTCTATCCACGTACTTCCAGAGTTTTTATCGCACTACGCTATTCATGGCAGTATTGGATACCTATGCTGCTAATTCGCGCACAGGACCGGCTTCGGATAATAAATTATTGTGATTTTCTTTTCTTTTAACCACTCTGCTGAACTTACTGTGCGATTGTTTATTGCATCTAGTTTACACCCTCTAAATCTCGGCACTTATTTCTGTTATAACCTGGACAAAAAATCATGGTAATTAAAGAAATGTAATATTTTTTTTTACCATAATAATAATTCGATTGTTCTAACAGTATGACTAATTGGACGTCCGAATATCATTTCAACTGCTGTGAAGTAAGTGTATTCACTAGTTCATAACTAGGAAGTTACAATATATTACACTTTTCTTGATTAAGTAACTTTCCCTTGTCGATCTTTTCCATTCTTTCCGGTCGAGAATGTCTTAACAGTATTATCGGTGTTTTTAGTGTACTTTTTTGTCAGCTTTTTTCCACTTGAGCTCCTTAGATTTATAAAAAATGAAAGCCGATCATGTGACTGATTAAATGTCACTTCGATCAGCCAACCGTCACTTGACCGTGTATTTCACTTACATACACATTCGTAAGTTCATATCGTGTGGTACATAGTAAAAAACTCTTTATGTGTTGGAAGATTAAAAGTTTATCAAATCTTCAAATCGATTCGATGAAAAACCCTTCACTTACTCTGTTATAATGTTATGATATTGTTGTTTACAATAACGTTGGTCGCCTGCTTGATTTGATTGGTTCATTTCTTTTACACTCATCTTTTGATGTACGGAACCCTAAAAAGATGAGTGTAACGGATACAAAATTATGCAGTTGCAAAAACAGTAGGAAATATAATATAAATTAAAACAGAACTTAACTTGTTATGGCGTTATGTTATGTTTTGTTTTGTTTTGTATTATGTACTAATAAGTTTTCTTTTAATCCATAAAGTTTGTAGACATCTAGTACAGTGGAATTCGTTTATTATGACTCCGCCTATATTGACCAACCGCTTAATATGAAGTAATTGCAGTGTTAAGTTTGGTTTTCATATTAAATTCTCTATAGGAAACTTTGGATATAATGACTGTCTAAAATGACATATCGTTTTTAATGACTGATTCTCAAGAAATCATATCCGGCTACAGTGATCCAAATGATTAATAATAACATTTTCACTCATTTTTCTGACGCTTCTTATGTATAATGATATTGATATACATTTCCCTTCAATGTCATTATAAGCGGATTCTACTGTAGTCCATTTTGACCCAATAAAAATTTACTTAATACATACATACATTTCGCGTTAAACAGATTGAGAATTTTCCCAAGAAACGAGGTTTTGTTACGGAATTTATTTATGATCGTTTCTGAAAAGAGCTTATCCGTCTGATTAAGTGTCAAGAATTAATTAATGTTTAAATTAGAATAAAATAAAATTAAGAAATATTATTTTCACACTTTAACTTAGCAATTTACGTTATTGACGTGAATGATTATTGAAATATTTTAAGATTTATAATTCGTCGTATAAATAATATCTAACTATAATATTAATGGTTATCTGACATATAAAATTGAAGTTAGGCTACAGAAATCTAGAAATTACAGAAATTACGGAAAATGGTTTTCCTGTTGACTAAGCATTCTTTGTAAAGGACTAATGCGATATGCAAGTCAATATAAATATTTGAAATTAAGCTCTGAAACGGATGGGTATGAAAATTAACGTAAAGATAACAAAAGTAATAGCAATAATAGTTTGCAAATACAAATAACCACAGTATTATTAAAGCAGGCCAAGGAATTTAAATACCTATTGTGGGTTGTACAATTATTATGCTAATGAAGAAGGAAATCAAGAAGCCAGCATCGATGAGTAGGGCTCGATTTGAGGGTAGAGGGGCAAGCTGGTGAAATGCCCAGAGTGGCAAAAATGAGGGGTGACAAAATTGAAGGTAGTGGCTACTGGGTGGTTGAACGGAAAGAAAAATTTTATAAAAATTGTGCTTAGCAGCCTGACAAAAAATTTTTTTTATTTTTTTTTTAAATTACGATTTTAGCTAGCTACTGTAAATTCTTTGACCGACCAATATATTTATAATATATATGTAACTTATAATTTTCTTAATGCTGTCCTCTATAATAAGCAGTCTAGCACGAAGAAAAATAGAAAACAAGGAGTCAACTGTTTCGAAATGTAATGATTTTTTTACAATTGTTTAGTTGAAAACAAGGATATTCTTCCAAATATGTTACATATCTGAACTGGCGATCCTTTTCGTTTCGTTTGTGTTTCATAAGGATTGCCCATCCACGTTGAGACTTGCTCATGATACAAGGTCTTTGTAAAGAATGGCAATTGTATAATTTTTGTCCGGAACGACTAAATTGCTACGAGGAAATATAAGTAGCTGTAAAAGTATTCGGCGCCTTAAATAGAAACTTCATTAGGAAAAGGGAAGTGTCCAAAACCAACAAACATAGACGTTTCTAAATCTGTACATATAAATAATGATAGGTAATTCGTGTTTAGTTTCGGAGTCTTAGGACTAGCTCGTACTGCGATTTTTTTGTCGGGTGATTATTTAGTCGCAAAAATGTACCAAAGGCTAGTAAGTGCGCGCATATGCTACTAAATAAAATCGTTACGATTAAAAAATCACAATTGGTCCTATTTTTCTTGCGGCACAATTGTCGCGGATGTCTCTAGTGTTTTGGATACGGAAAAAATTATATCCGAAATTGAAAAAAGAAAATTTCACTTTTCAAAACTCTTTTTCTTTTTATTGTTTTTTTTTATTTAAAACGTTTATTTACCTTTGTGTTTGTCATCACTACAATATATAATTTAAAATATTAAAATAAACACGTGCTTACTGATATTTACACCAAATGAAACCTCGCGTATGGGTGGAGCTTGGTGGAACGCTAGAAAATGTAAATAGGGGAGGGTAGTAATTCGTTTATCTACAACGTTGCCACGAATGTCTACGAACGAGCAGCAATGACGGTAACGTAAACGAGTACGAATGAATGGTAAAGTTTCTCAGTGTATTTCCTGCTTTGGGTATCTTCTCGCCAAAGAAGCAAGTTACAAATGAATAACTAAAAGAAGTACAACATGTAATGAAATTATTTTTTATATACAGAATAAAAAACGTGAATATTGTATTACGCACGAATTAGGAATATGCCTTGTATATAGGGCCGCCATCACCTAAATTGCCGATGCCGGATAAACACGGCAAAAATCCCGGACATTGGGCGAAATATGGTTCTTTCCCCGGACACCTCTGAAAAAATATTTTTTCCAACAAAAATAAAAACATTATTATTAGGTGATACTATTACTATTTTGCCCTGCTTTCTTGAATGCGGGTTATTATGAATGAATTTTTAACTAAGATTTATTTCAATTTGGATTTTCCCTGAACACAAAAGTGGACCCCTGCCGGACGGCCCCCGAACGCCCACCAAACTAGGACAAGTCCGGGGAATCCCGGACGGATGGCAGCCCTAGGTTAAGGTAATAAAAATTGGCAGGAAACGATAATTTTTCGTGTACATGCATTGGCGAAAATAGATCGAATGCGAATACGATTGGCATTCGACTGGTTTTTTCGTTTTTCTAACATTTTTAAGAGGGTTGTAATCCATAATTAGCAGTTACGTATACACATTTGTATGACAAGGTTGTATATTGAATAATAGAATGGATAGAAAGAAAACGCTTTTACCAATATTTACATATGTATGTACGTCTGTAATTATTTGTTAATATGTGGAAATAAAATTTAACAATTACCTACAATATTTAATTGGATATTTGAAGGAGAGAGCGACGCCTCTACTAATTTACTTAAATATTTTTATACTTCCTTTATGAGGATTTTAATAAAGTAAGTGTAACACATCCTCGACTATAATTAATGCGTAGATATAATTGTAAAATAATTGAAAAAGACCGAGTACAAATTCCTATGAATTTAAAATTAGAACAATTAAGTTACTTACCGACAGATTAAAATGAATTTAATAGCCATGTTCTAACAATTTCTTACTCATTAGTAGTCCTGTAAACTAATTTCAATGCAAGCCTTTCATTAAATATCACTAATAATGTTTCGAATAATATGAATATAGTAAATATATCACATTATTTACATTCATTCTATTGGTACCTAAGGTAATGATAATATAATTTATTTTTGAAACAAAATGATCTTTTAATGGAAGAGAAATGTTATGCCTTTTAACGTTTGTTTACTTAAAACCATACCTACTTGTTTCTTTAATGTACATTTTCTAAAATACCGAAAAATAGCATATGTAATTACTGTACATAAAAATAAGTTGAAACAAAATATGTATTCCAGGTAAACGATGGGTAAGTACCTACGGCATATGGGCAGGTGCTTAATGAATTAATACATTGAAAATTGCGACTAAAGTAAACAAAGGGCTTTTGATGTGCTTCAGTACCTCTACAATTGAATTAACAAATATTTTGAAATGTTGAAAATCATCACCAATAGGAAAAAAGAACTTTAAAAAACTTAGGGTGTTTAATTCATCTAAGACGTATTTTTTTAATTGAATGCGTTAACATCAAATCATAAGTAACTAATTGTAAATAATAAGCTTATCAGGACACCATTCCATTTTTACAAGTTGCAACGATATCTAACGATATTTCTGCTTGTGGCTAAAATAAACATGGCGCCATCTAATTTTTTAGTCAATGATCACTTAAGAAGGTTCAGTAGGTACAACTACAGCGAAGAGCTGTACGCCCTAGTTACGATTCCTGAAGGTGCCGACCATAGCAGCGAAACGTCGGATGAATAATTCAGTGTTCTCACCAAAATAGGAGGAGAAACAGCCTTAGACCACTATATGAGTAATCATCTAATTGATAATTACTTATCAAATTCATAATTACTTTGGAATCATATGTTCTTATGAAAATTTATTTTATATACTATCTTTGTCATGACAGAACATTATATTACCTATTAATTACGTTTAATTCAACTCCTATATACAGAAAGTGGTAGATCATATCATTTGGCATACAACCCCGAGATAAAAATGTTCAGTCTCTCAGTCTCTGAAAGCGAGACTCGAGTCTCCGTCTCTCATCGAGTCTCTTTGGTGTCGCTAAGAGAGACTGTCGAGAGACTGTCAAAAATACTATTTAGCGTCTCTGAACGAGAGACTCGAGTCGCTCATAGAGAGATCCTCATTTCATATTCAGTCTCTGAACGAGAGACTCGAAACTCTCAATGAGTGGTGTCTCGATAGACATGGTTAAAATTTTCTAAGTTCAACATATTTCAGAGATCTCAGTCTTTCTACGAGAGACTAGAGTCTCTCAATATTTTTCAGTTTTATTCACTCAGTCTCACTGTGAGAGACTCAAGTCTGTGAATTAACGATTTTAGAGACTGTGAGAGATCCATAAAAACACCTAGGCAATAACTGAGAGACTGAAAGACTGTGAGAGACGCTCTCAGAGACGCTTAAAAACTCTGAAAGACTCTGAGAGACTGGAGAGAGGCCGAAGATTTTTGTCTAGGAACAGTATCTACCTTCGATGTTTTTTACTATAAAAGATTTTCATTAACATGGAATAGATGTGACATTACTATTTTCTAACGTGATATGTCATTTTCATAGGCGGAAGAGGCGCTTCCTACATATCTTTTGTATGTATTGTCATCATCGACATAAGGTCGTGAGTCTTAAGACTATCCTGAGGTAATTTTCACATTTCCCTAAAGCTAAAGCAACTCAGATCCTCACAACTATGTGTGAACGGTAATCTGATCTAAACCTACCTCTACTCGTCTTAATTCCTGTTTCTGCTTCTAATATCTGTTTAACTAACCCTCCATACCTGAGAAGGTGTCCTACCAAGCTGTCTCACCTATTTAGGTAATACAACATTTCGAACGTATTTAACCTTTTCATTTCCGACGCGCCCACTGTCCATGTTTCGCACCCGTACAGCACCGGGAATTTCTAAATTAACTGTTCGCGAGCGTAGAAGTAATTTCTTTTTGTTAAAGGCGACTCTACCCTGCACCGCCCTCTG